TTCATATTAAACATCAGGATTCAACCTCAATTTAACAGTGAGGTCAGTTAGTGGAGGAGAATCCTCCTAATCCTGCTCTGCTGGTTATAAACTAACCCTCTCTGCAGCTGGTTTGCTGTCAGACCTGATAAATACTTTCACTTTTCTTATCTGTGCCTGACAATCATTGTGTCACTATGCTTTCAGCACCACCGTGAAGTCTTCTGCAGGTCCCCAGGCTCCCTTGTAATAACACATAATAAGAAATGCCAAGTAAAATCACTCTACCCTTTAAAGGTTTTGACCCTTTTAAGGTTTCACATCATAAAAGTGACAAAAATCATCATTAATATCCCAAAACCTTACCAGCAACAGTCATCTAGGTGGCACGCACGAGTGTGATCATTTATGACTAAAAGCATCACGTTGGAGCAACTTCCTATCTCAGTGCTGCAGCGGTCTCGATTATTGCTTATTTATTTGTTGCCCTTCCATCTGGTGTGGTGCGTCTGTTTGCATGGCCAAACACTGGACGCAGGTGCAAGAGCAGATTAGTGCCGTAATTGAGCCGTGTGATTGACATGAGCGGAGATATCGGCACCCGTGTCTGCTATCACAGGTCGCCTGTTCCTGATGTAATACCATTAAGCTGAGTCTTCTGGGAGGCGTTTGCGTGTTGGTTTCACGCGTGCGTGTGCAGTGGCCAGAAACAGTGACAGGAAGCAGAGAGCAGAACTCACCTGTGTGACGGTGAAATGCGCTGTATATCGCTGCCCTCTCAGCAGAGCAGATGGGCTGTGTGTTGTGTAAATGTGTATCTGATATCTAAAATGAAATAAACACTGCAATATAAACTCTGATGCTGTCTAGTACTGTATGTGTTTGCAGTTACTGTGCTGTACTGTCGTCCCTGGGTTGCTTATACTTATACTTCAAGTGGTGAGAATCAGGGAGTAAACTCATTAATACATCGAAAGTACATCGAGACGACTTCATGTTCAAGGATAAATGCCAACAAATCAGAATACTTTAGGGGGAAATGCTTGAATCTGCATGTAAAGTTGCACAAAAACTAAATATACGCAGTACTCAAGGGATTACCCTGTGTGCAGTAAACCATTAAAGAGGACCTCTTCTGCTCGTCTCCAGCTCCATGTTTTTTATTCTATGACTCAAGAGTAGCTTTGCATGATTCACAGATCAAAATAATCCTTATTTATCTTATTCTGGGCCTTGGTGCACCCCCTCAGTTCATCCTTTGTCTGAAATAGAGAGTTTCAGTTTCTCCACTCTTCAGTTAACTTTTATTCTGAGTGGCTGTCCCTCACAAGTATTAGGCTGGAACAGCAGGTGAGCAGGGCACCTGTGCTTCAGATATATCCGCTCCTTATGACGTCTTACAGAGCCATGTTTAACACGAGCATCGGTGTATGAGGCATGAAATGAAACGAAATTATCGAAAATATACACCTTATAGATAGAAAATTACCTGTCTTATTTTATAACAATGGCCACAGTTGCTTTCGTGCTCAGTGAAGGTAATTGTAGAGATAATCTTGAGACCTTATGACTCTGTCCATTAAATTTGTTTCTAATTAGACTCAATGAAAGGATTTTTCTCCTTTTTTGGGGGTGTTAAGGCGCTATTATCGAGCTGCAGTCCAGCTGTTTTGGTGCTTTCACATTTGCTTTTTGCAATTCATAATTATGAGGAGTCAGATACGGCCTGTAACTAATCATCATGCATATTTTAGAATGTTGTTTATGCGTCACGACTCACTAAAGTTCAGACTTTGTGGTGGAAAATGAATCATGTGCTGGTGGCCTAATTTCCACCAGTTTTCAACCAAATCTGCTTAGAAGATCTTTGCCTTTCTATGTTTGCTTTTAAATGAATTTCATGTTTTTTTCTTGTTCTTTGTTTACTATTATACCAAGATGAAATTCTGGTCCTTTGTCTCACTCTCTTTCTTTTGTGCATGCAGGTGGTGGCTGAAGACAGCTACTTAAATGAGGTGCAGAACTCAGGTAGGCGAGAGGTGACGCTCTCATCCTCTTTCTGTGCATTTACTTTCTCCTCCCATCTGTCCTCCCCTCCTACACCATCGCTCTCCTTTCTGCTGTTTTCTCCGTTCCCTCCAGTTTAACCCACATTCTGACTCAGACTCTCACAAAGCCCCTCCCACTCTTTCCTACCTCTCCTCTCCCCCTCATCCTGGCCTGCGCCCCTCTGCCTTTCATTTTCCTCTTCTTTCTTTCTCCGCATCCCTGAGAGGAGTGAAGGGCATGATGAAGATAGGAGGGGGGGTTGGGGCAAAGAACTCCTCCCTCTCGGCTCATTTCCAGTGCGGTGAAACATCTCCGCTTTAACACTCGCTACACACTGACAGACCCATGCAGTCAGAAACACACCATCCATCACGGGGAATCCAAATTGTGGCTTTTTAACAATACTGAACACCTGCATAAATTCACATACTGCTAAAATTGCCTCTTTTTATTGGGTGGAAATGAGGATAAATGGTGTAAAAGCAAATTTCCTCAGGTTTCCAGATTTATTAGTGTGTTTTGTGTAGAGGATGTTGTTGCTACACACCCACCCCCCATACAGCCAGCCTCCGACTGTGAACCGTGTCAAATACTCATTGTGGCTGGGAAACGGATTACGGGAGAAGGGAGACTGAGTGTTCCCATGGCGATGGGCAGAGTGCGGTTGTCGTGGCAATGAGGAGGGTGTCGAGTATTGTGTGAAATGCATTAAAGAGCGTAGTGAAATATTAAAGTGGTGAAATATAAACAAGGGGAGAATTTAGGGATCATATTGAGACATGAAAAATCATAATAAATGTTAGTTTTGAGCGATACTGAAAATGTTGCTTTTGTTTAGTTACGTAACGCTTTTTTACTTTATTAAAATTTTATGAAGCTGAAGATAAAAGTTTGATTAATGCTACTGTGCAGCTTTTAAGCATGTTTTTGCCATTCAGCACAACAAATGCAAAATATATATGTGAAAATATTACACGATTTACATGGTAAGATTACGAATTACAAAGCAGTAAGGGAACATGGCAGTGTATCCTGTGTTTTTTAAAATATTTGATGATTGTTTGTTTGTATTTGTGCCTAAGTGCTTAAAAAGAAGGAAAAATGGCTCAAAGATAAAGTTGTGCATTTATTTTTCATCAGCATCGACACAAAATGTCAGCGTTAACTCTCCAGCGACCCAACTAGTAACTACAATGACCTTGAGGTGTAATTCCTATCTCCAATTGTGTTTATCTCATCTATTATTTCTTTTCTCTTGCCGATATTCTAAAATGCTCAACTTATTTTGATTTTCAATCATTTTTAGCTCATCCGGCCAAACGTCTGATGTTTTTATGCCACGAATATGTGTCAGATGGACAAGAATTGCAGGTGTAGTACTTGAGCACAATGATCATATAGTGGATTTTCACCCAAATTCTGCTCAAAGCCAAAGTCATGTTTGTCACTTTATTGGAAATTTTACCATTTTTCAACTTCGGGTATTTATGGAAGAGGATTAGGGCCACTGAAAAACAAAAGTGGGCACGTCTTTTCCCCCCTGCTTTTCCAGAATTCTGAGAAAAAGTCACAAGTCTGACTTTAATCTCAGAATTTTGACTTTTTTTTTATCAGAATTCTGGAAAAGAAGAAAAAAAACAAAAACGTGCCCCCTTTTTTTTCTTCTTCTTCCTGTGGCCCTAATCCTCTTCCGTAGGTACTGGCCAGATTTTAGTGCAACAACATTAATTTGCCTTGGACATGACTGTTTGGCTCCTCCTTGACTTCTCAGTGTATTTTAAGCCTCATTTGTTTGCGGAGTACTGCCAACTAACCAGTAACACAAAAACCTATCACTTTCTTTCTGTACACATTACATTAACTTCTAAACTGTGCTGGATATGAGAGAGGTGAAAAAAGGAGCTACAAAATCCACAAATTGTAGGCAAAAAATGTCATTTATTTTGACTTTCATTCCTCACAAATATTATTTATTTGGATATTGCAAAAAAATACAAAAACCATTGCAATGAGTCAGGGAATTATGACTCCAGTTTGACACTTGAAAATTAAATCAGATCGATGTTCAATCAGGTATATATGTAATATTAAATATATCAAAATTAAAGGGACAGTGTTTTTCTCTGACTTGCTATGTGGATATATCTGTTGTATCTGTTTAATATACTGGAATCTACTTTAGCAGTGCTCACAGTGCCCAAAAACACATACAAAAGAATACACTACTCCGCAGCAACATTTCTTTCTACAAATCCGTAAACACGTGCAAAATGTGCATCTATTCGTGACTTACAGAAGCACATCCTTTTAGTCCTTTCACCACTTTACAGACTCCACTCGTACCTCCATGTCGGCTATATAAGTAAGAACACCTGGTGAATTCATATTTTGTCTTGAATTCACAGGGGTTGCTCCCATTTACAGCACCACTTTCTTTTCAGTTAAATCCTCAATTTTATTATTTCCACCCATTCTTGTCCCTCGTTAACATGCTGTTCGATCTTCTGTGCACGAAGTGCCGAACTTGTTACAAGCCTCGAACCTTTCACACTTGAACTGACGTCACCATATGTAGCAGGAAAAACCCCCTCTATAGTTTAGTCTTTTTTTTGTAGTGTAATGAATTAGTCTGCAGATGAAGCCACCGTCCTACATTCATAAGACAATTATGAAGCTGCCTGGCAATATGTCAAAACGTGATAGACTAAATAATTTAATTATTATACGAAAAACTGTGATAATAAATAACTCATTAGTCATTAAATGCACATCTAAACTTTCTGAAGGTTTGAATATTATTTTCCTCCTTAAAACAAACATTGAGAGACTTTCGTATTGAGATTCACATTCATTGTTTTTATCAGTTTGCTTTTCCTTTTTACTTGTCAAAACTGGATTTATTCTACTGTCATTTCTTTATATTTTCTTTCCAAGGAGCCAGTCTTTCTTGTAATTTTAAAGTGGTGTGCAGCAATAGTTCTTCAGGCTTTCTGGAAGATTTTTCCATCATTTTCAGTCCCATCCTTGTACCTGAACATTTTCAAACGAGAGAAAAACGCCCAAATGTTGTGTCAGTTTGACGAGGAGCTGAAACACGTTAGAATTGTTGATCTATTTTTCTCTAGCTAATTAATAGCAAAAAGAAACCAAACAAAACTGAAAAAAATCTGTACTTGGATAGGCGATTAGCAAATTTAGCAAGAAAACCTCACATATTCACATTATCTCACTGATAAATATCTGATAAAGACATTAAATATCCAAAACGTCCTTCATATTGGATATATGTCTTTAAATGTAAGGCACTTGGCTTTTATCCCACAAAGACTCAAACAGAATAAAATATTTGATTCAAAGGGTGAGTCTCTGAAGCCCCGCTGACTCGCTTTCACCAACAGGAACTATTATCATGGGATCTAAATTGGAGCCAAATTCATTGTCACAGGGATTAAAGTACGGATAGAGCTCCTCGGTAAAGAAACACTCAGTGAAAGAGTAAATAAGCGTTGCAGCCTCCGTGTCCCAAAATGATATTTGACCTCGGTCGTAATCCACAAAAACCCCGATCCGCTCCACTTTCCCAAAGTGTACCGGCTCATCCGGAGAGTTGAAGGTTTCAAACTTATTTTCCAGGAACCACATGGCCCACAGCCCACTACGCAAATCCCGACTGAGTGACCCTCTCCTCTGGACCGACGCAGCAGCCATGCCCAGACACCACTCGGTCTTCTGACCCACGTAAACCTCGAAGTAAAACTTGCGGGATGAGAAGCTTCTGTTTCCCAGAACTGCAAGATGCTCAGTGAACATGCTTGGGTTCGAGATTTGGTTTGCCAACCATCCTGAGCGCATGCTGTATCTTACTTGTTTCAAGTCGTCCGATATCATGAGCAGAGGATGAGCCGTGTCCGGATCCAGCAAGACGTTCACCTCGTACTGCTGCATATATCTGAGCGTGGCTTTATTTGACACGTCTGATCTGTCGCACAGTTTTTGTATGTCTGTGTTCATTTTGTTGAGCGTTGTTCGCAGCTGGGAGACGGAGTTTTTCAAAGATTCGCCTATGTGTTGTATCTCCAGGTGTCGGTTAAAGCTGAGATGGGAAGGATCCATTGTTTGAGGCAGGACAGAGGAGCTTGGGTAGTGCCGGAGAAAATGGAGCTGATCTTTAGTCTGCTTTAGCTCAATCAGCTTCACACTTGTCACCTGCAGCTCTGTGATCTCCTTCTCCATATCACTAATTACCCCTCCTGCTTCTTGTTCTACAGTTTTTTGCTTCTCCTCGATGACCGCGATGAGCTCTGTCTGACTCTTCTGAATCTCAGACACCAGGTCTGTTAGGTCCTGCACGCCGCTGGCAGTCACCTTTTCAGTTTCTGTCTTGCTTAGCTTTACTGATTCCTTCACTTTCACAACGTTCTGGAGCCTTTCCTGGATCATCCGCTGCACTTTACCCTCAGTGTGCTCCAGCAGGTTCTTCTTCTCGTCGTACGCCCGCTCCACAGGAACAACAGAGTGCTCCTTGTGGCGGGAGCTGGAGCAGACGTCACACAGCAGAGCGCTGTCGTCTCTGCAGAACCACATCAGCAGCTTGTTATGTTCCTCACAGATCCGCCCCTCCAGGCTCGCCACAGGTTCAATCAGCGTGTGCTTCTTCAGTCCAGGGGCAAGGTGATGAGGCGCCAGATGAACGTCGCAGTATGAAGTCTGACACTCCACACATGATTTAATTGCTTCTTGCGGCGTGTCGGTACAGATGCCACATAGCACCCCAGCTCCAGGGCTGGCCTGCAGTGAATGAGCACTCCAGGTGTCAAAATCTTTAGCTTTAAGTGACAAGACGTTTGACGCGAGCTCTGAAATGAAAGTGTTGACCTTGAGATCCGGTCTTCTTTCAAAAGCGTGATTACAGACAGGACACCGACAGACTTGCGCATCTTTCCAGTAGGTTTCAATACACAACATGCAGAAGTTGTGTCCACATGGAGTGGAAACTGGGCGAGTGAAGACATCCAGGCAGATGGGACACAGAAACTGGTCCTCAGAGAAGAGACTGCTGCCAGATGCCATTTCTAAGAAAACAGACAAACACTATTAAATCTAGGCCAACATTCAGATTAGCTGCTTTAGCTAAAATAAGTTCATGAGCTATTCTGGAGCTTTTAACAGCAGCTGTCACTGCATTTTTAGTGGAAGTTAAATTTTTGCCTAACTCTTTAAAACAACCCCCGAGAGTTTACTTATATAAGCAAAAGGCTTATCTTTGCATTTAGTGCTGTAATTATTTAACGCTGACTTTAACCATTAAAGTTAAAACTCGAATGGCAGGTTTCGCTCTGTTGTTTTCAGGCTGCAGAACAGGATGCGACCTGTGCGATCACCTTAATGAGCCTCAGTATTGCCCGGGAACAAATTTTTCCTTTTTCAGCCAGCATCGTCCTGATAACATTCAAATCACTTCATAACCAGATAGTCTGCACTTAAACCACAGAGCAAATGTACCAAACTGCACCATCATCGAGACTCAGGATTAAATGGACCCATGCTTATAGACTGGGTTTTTAATAAATGCCGTTCTTTCTCGTTTCATTTTCAAACTATGTATTTGCATTCTTTTTTTTAACCTGTTGCTATGTAGTAACAAGGCATTTTCCTGTATAAATAAAGATGAATTTATTGCTAACTTCATGAATCTTTATTAACTTGATTAACCTTATGAATTTAAAGCCACTAACCCATATAAAAACAGCACCTGGCTGTGCAGATCTGAGCTGCAGATCTCTAATAACATAACTACTGATGTTATTCACAAATAGACTGATTAGATGAGCTAATGTGAAAGCTCACTATATGGAGATGTGGGGTAACACATACCCACAGAGCAGACAGGTCTGGCCCGAACCTGGTGTCAAGCCGGCACTGCTGGGTGACTTCTGGCATGGGTAAGTGGTATGTCATCCAGATATGAGCCATGCCTGGCATAGATGGCACTGTTTATGTGATGGCATGCCACATCTGGCCTGATTGTGGTTTGGTTTATGTGGCCCAGGCTCATAGAAAACAGGTCTTCCCTGGATCCGGCATCAAGCTGGCCCTTCTGACTGACTGGTGTCATGGCAGGGTGTATGTCAACCAGACGTGGGCCAGGTCTGGCAATGACAGCACTATTTATGTTCCTATTTTCCTATTTTAGTTAGAAGACCCAAATGCCATGTTGCAATACTATACTGCTATGGTAGCCAACGTTTCAAATGCAGGTTTGACAGGTTTGTGAGTGTACACTTTATACTAAACCTAGTGAGGGTTTACTCATGTTTACTACCGGTTGGCTATAGCGCAGGAGACAGAGCAGGTCACCTACTGATTGGAAGGTTAGTGGTTCGATCCCAGTCTGCATGTCAAGAGTTTGAACGTAGTTATGAAGCACTCAATTTAGAGGAAGTGGGTGAATGTGGCATGTTGTATAGAGCACTTTGTGTAATCTGGGAGAGTAGAAAAGCACTATATAAGAATCAGTCCATTCACTGTCTGAACAGAGTTTTCTCATGTTACTATTGTGTTCTGGCACATGTTGTTATTACATGGCTTGATTAAGGTACACATTAGGCTGACATCTGGGGCCAGAGCTGAAACTGTTCTGGGCCAGCAGTGTGTCTGCAACTGGCCTTGTGCGGGCCACCTCTGACAAACCTGATCTGGGCCACCAAAGGGTCGTCATTCTTTGCGGTATGTGGGCCATGTGTAAACACATTGTGTGGGCCAGATCCGGGCCATACAAATTTTGCTATGTGGGTATAAAAGCACACTACAGTCACTATGCACAAAAAGTGCAGTAAGGACAGTTAATAAGATCGGATATATTTCTAAATTCAAAAATGTGGAAATTCACAGATCTGGTCAGATTTAAAACTGGTCAAATAATATTCAGAAGAAGAAATAATGTGTTACCAAAAAATTTAAATGTTAAAAGTTTTCACAGACAGAGAGGGGAGCTACATTTGAAAAAACACAAAGCGAGGACAACAACGAGGAGCATGCAGTTAACAGTCTGTGGAGTGGTTTTGTGGAGTAATGTGGAGAAGACTATACAAATATAAATCAGTTAAAAAATTATATAAAACACCAATAAAGCACTATATGGAAGCAGTGGGGTGTTAAATCTTTATATTAAGAATGACGTATTATAAAAAGCAATACTTTTGGACAGGTGTAGTTAAATAACTATAGATCAGTGTATAAAGGTGTATATGTTAATATAAAACACAGGACTGCATTTGATATTTATGTAAGTATATTTATAGCATATATGTATATTTTAGATTGTATAATTAAAACAGATATATACGATGAATTAATACGAATTGAACTGGATAAGACCAACATTTTTTTTCCATGTGAATGTGATGACTTTTACTGATTTATGCTGACTTATATTGATTGATTGATTAATATTGAGTCTTACTAAAAGGAGTTAGTAGCTATCAAAGATGATCGTAGTTGTGCATTAAGAGGAACTGCTCGTTTGATATCTTGAACGTCATTATTTATATATTGATTTATTCATTTTTAAATCACATGTGATCATATTTGGAAGTTAGTTAATGCTTGCACTAGTTAGGGTGGATGGTTACCGAGCTGTCACTGTGATATTAAATAGGATGGTGAGTTTGGCAACCAAACAACAGACTTGAAACAAAATGTACCTACTGGGGAAAATAAACAGCTGATTCCTTTTCTTCTTATATCTCAGTGCTGAATAGGACAAACCCAGCTGTCAATCAAAGGGCTTACACCCCTTATAATCAGGCTGGTCTACGAGTCCCTGCCTCTGATAAAAATTTAAGAAATTCCCAGTGGGGTTAAAGTGTAAGTAAAATTGGCTTTCACTTTCAGTCTGAGAAGACTAGCATGAAGCATGATCTTAGCTGTTTCAGAGCAAAAGCTACTCCTAATCAAATAAAAGAGGATTAAAAAGGATTCAGAGTGACAGATTTTGCAGGAGTATCATGAAAAAGACAGAAACATTTCTACTGAATATCAAATACTCACCTGGTTGCTGACATCAGAATTTCCTACACTGGTGAAGTCTTCTTATATCGCTGAACCAGGGCGGCTGTCTCACATTCTGCACTTAGAAACCGTTGTTTTCAGGATGTCTGTGAAGAAAAGTTATGTACACGGATTGTTGGCTTTGCAGTTGATGGTGGAGTTGTGGTGATGGGCTGATGGGGAGGTTGCAACCACATTTCTGCGTTACATCATCCCTAATATAACTGTCATTTAGTGCATCGTTCACATTTAGAACTTGTGGTCCATGATGCTGTAAAACACATTAGAGAGCTGAGTCATTTTCACACATTTATTAGTTCGTTGATCTCAGCAAACGAACACGTTTGCCTCCTTCTCAGTCGGAAGATTCGCAGATATGGGTAAAAGAGGGTTTACAGATGACAGATTTCCTCTATGGGAAAAAAACATGTCATTAAAGCAGAGAAAGAAAAAATCTGCTGGGACAGAATATCATATTTTGTGTTGTTTTGTAATTGGCACAGCTGGCCAAATAGCACAAAGTGAAAGAAGTCACAAACGAAACAGTCTGTATTGCCTCGTTTTATTGGCAATAAAATATTACACATTTTAGTTTCACTTAGAAACTACACAGCAGAGTATACGCTATTGTTATATGTTTAAGTTCTGAACTTTCAAAATTCACAATTATTCTATAAACATTACATTGAGAATAGAATACATTTTTAAAAAAGTTCTAATAGGCTTAAAAATATACAGGACCACTCTAGTTTCTAAATTATTTTCATGGAAAAAGAAAAGCACATATCACACTCTGCTTATGATCCATATGTTTAAGCCTTTGAACAAGTAGAAATTTTTTTTTATAAAATCTCCACGCCTTGTACAGCTGCCATGAATGGGGGAAATCACCTATAAGAACCAAATCTGTTTTTTCCTCAGGATGTACAAATGCTTTTCAGTTCAGTTCAGTTCAGTTCTTTTTTATTTCAAACATGCTCTCCTGCTGTAAGTTTAGCCATCTTAACACGCTCCTCTTTTAAAGCTAGCATCAAGTGGCCACTAGAGAAACTGTAGTTTCTAGCACTTCTATTAATGGATTCGGTTTTATCAACCTTTCCAGACTTGTTTTGACACAGTGAGGCAATGAATGAGAGAAACCACTTAAACTATTACTCATTTGGCCAACTATGTGTGGTACACAGGTATCATCCCACTCTGTCGGTAACCTTCAAATAGACTGGCAACTTCCTTGAACTTTATGCTATTGTTGGAGTCATAATCAGATAAACTAAAAAAAAAAAAATTATAAAATTAGTCCCACGTGGCCTTTGTATCCTTGGCATATGCAGCTGGAAAGTATGTTGCTATTGTTACTTTCACTTCTCATGCTTTTTGCCCTAAAAGCTGCAGTTCAGAGTTCACTACGGACACCGGAAACATAGTGAAACGTGGGAAATTCGACTCCGACAATTAAGACAACAAATATCTTCAATCGGGAATATCACTAAAGAGATCGTGTGATCATATTTTTGAGCTGTGACAACATTTCTCAGCTAAAAGGCTTTACCGGCAAAAAAGTTTATGACCGTACAGCACATAAATAATATTAATTGCAGTAGCTATGTGTTATTAAGAAAGCTTAGGTTACTAGTGACTACTTACTTGTTGCTCCTCGTTGGTGTGGGAGTGAGAATAATGAGTGTGGCTCAGTTCCCTTTCTCCAGAAGTATTTTGCTTTTGGTTTCCTCAGTGTCAAATTTCCTTAAAGGGACAGGCACCCCTTTTCTTGCTGCTTGCTCCGCATTCAGGTTTTGAGTCCAGTATGAGGTTGATTTAGATTTTTTAATTCTTAAGGATACATTTGTGCTTTACTTCAGAATTGCTTTTCCTCTTATCTGCCTCCAGTCTGTCTGTGTGTGTTTGTGTGTTGCAGTGTTGGTCACTCTGCAGTGAAATCTATGGATGTGCGTTAGTGTGTGAGGTGAGCTTCAGGGTTGCAGGGCGGTGTGTGCTGAAGAGATAAGGCTTGGGGGTTGCTGATACACTGCTACCATTAATCATGGTTTAGTAGCCGCTTGGCCTCCGAAACCCCCGAAGCTTTGGTGAGGGAAAAGTAAGTTCTTTAGAGGAAGATGCAACGACTCAAGAGGAAAACACTCCTGTAGCTGTAGAAAACAACATTCAGTCGAGCTCTTTCTTTGGTTTAGGGGGTTTTCATACTTACAGATCAGCCAAAGCGAAACTTGAAAAGACAGAAGAAGAAAAAAACACTCACTAGCCACTTTATTGGATGCAACTGCTGTTCAACTACCTAATCAGCCAATCGCATAGCAGAAACTGCATTTAGGTTAACATGGTTAAGATGACCCGCTGAAGTTCAATTCAGTATCAGAATTGAACAGAAAGGTGATTTAAGTGACATAAATGTGCAGTGGTTGTTGGTGCCAGAGGGGCTTATCTGATTATTTCAGAAACTGCTGATGTACTCATAACTATTTCTAAGGTTGACAGAGAATTGTGTTACTGATGCAGGAGGAAAATGGCATAAACAGCAGTTCAGGATCCTGTTGTATCTAATATAAGTTAGATGGTAGGCTGATGTAAGCGCATTAGTGCTAAAAACTGCTCATTTCAGTCTGTTGCTAGGTGGTTGTTAGCAACAAAAGGTGATATAGATAAGAACCTGCATGTAGCCCGAGTTGGCAGACAAAGTTGTGTATTATAGTTAACATTTTGTTGATATTTGTAATGAACTTGGCATAATTTTCACCGGGATTGTTTTATTTTTTCCTCTTAACTGTCTTCGGCTTGTTTGCTGTTGTGCTGTGAATAAAAAATGTAGTGACTGATTGTTTGTGCCACATTAAGCAGATGTTGATCTTTCACAGGAACGAGTTTGAGGTGCTGCTGCTCTGTCCACAGAGTGGAAGAAAAAACAGAAAAATCATTAGCAAACATCCTGGATACCTGTACCAAAGTTCAGCCACCCTTCCCACATTTGTCACAGAAGCAAAGGACTAATGCAATCAGCAAAGGTTCAGCCATTCTTTAACATGTTATAGTTCAGTGTGGCCCTGCAGACCAACATTCCAACAAATATGCAAATACAATAAAAAGATCAAGTAACTAAAGTCAGAGAGATCCTATTTTCCACTCTACTTGTATAAATCATTTACCTTTTTAAGTGACTTTGCACCTCTGAGTGTGCTGTGCAGTGCCTGTATGTGCACCACTCTCCCCATTATATTTTTTAGCATGATTTCTTTTCATTAGCGCATTCTGTGTGCGTTTTAATCAGCTGCAGCACAAAACCTGCTCTACATTTTGTGGCCTAATTTTGCTACACTTTGATGTCAGCAGTTTCCCTCTCAGACTGTCGAAGCTTCACTCACCCATTCCTCCCTCTCAGAGAAGATTACTGGCAGTATCTGGCCACCACCGTGTTAAATAAGGAGGTTCAGGGTCATGGAAATTTCCCCAGTTCACCATGGATCAGTGCGGTTGAATGCCTTAGAGGGGATCCTGCTGCAGTACTGGAGAATCATCCATGTAGGGTTTTATGTTAAGATATAATAAAGACACGGGGATAATGTGATTTAAATAAGACCCGTTTTACTCCCATTTCACCTCTCTTTTCCCAAACTATCTCTTTTATTCTCATTGTCCTCGCTGACCCAAATACCCGTCCTTTCATCCAAAACATCTCATTCTCTCATCTTCCTCAACATATACTTACTCTCCTCTCCCTTTGGTGTGCAGTGCCTCTGTCATGCTCTGAGGGATTCACAGAACTGGGATACTACAACGGCACCGTGTCGCAGACGGACTCTGGTGCCCCCTGTCTGAAATGGACTGAGTTTCCAGACTATGTCATGCAGTACCCGGGCCGCGGCCTGGGTGACCACAACTACTGCAGGAACCCGGATCGCGAGTCCAACCCGTGGTGTTTCTTCCGACAGAACTCAGGAGCAATTGGCTGGGCCTACTGCGACTGCCACCAGGGTATATCCACAGACGCTCTGAACAGTTCATGCATGATTAAAAACAAGTTGACCTTTAAATGATTTCATTCCACATTTAGTGCTGTACGCATCCCCCCCCAGCAGATTCAAATGAAACATTTGTTAGCTGTTGGTTAAGCTGTTCACAAGGTTTTCACACCAAAAAAAAAGGGGAAGATACTCTTTTATGTAAAAGGTAATATCTGCAAAACAACTGCAACAATTCAAAATCCAAAGAAATTTGGTGTGTAAAGATAAAATTCTATTGATACTTGGCAGTCATGACTGATTAATGACTGAGCTTCAATAACGTGTGGACCCTTTGTGCACAAGTTCCTTGAACTGCATTATTTTAAATGTCCAAAAGGGGAATGTGACGCTGTTTTTCATTTTATTTATTTTAGTAAATATTTTCCTGATGAGTTTATATTCTCAATGCAAGTTTGAAGAGTTCTTTAAATCAGCAGGATGTTCATTTTGTAAATTGTGGCTCCAATTACAGTAAAACAGTCATAAACCGAACCCCAGTTCCTCTTGTAATGGAGAATAACTTCTAAATCTGGTTTCTGGCATGTAAAATCTAAACTTTCTATATCAGTATTACTCAATTTAAAAATAAGCCTCTGACTGGCTCAACAACCAATTTCTAAACTGATTAGAGTTCCAGGTATTTCAAATGTTACCAACATCTATGAATTTAATGTATTTAATAGAATAACTGCTTTCAAATCCATGTGATTGTGGGGCTTTTAGTATTTATTTACACTCACCTGACACTGAGGATCCCTTTTTTCCTTCACAACTGCTTCAGTTGTTTGTGGCTCAAATTCATCTAGATGTTGGAAACAATCCTCAGAGATGTTGGTACCTACTGACATGATAGCATCACATTAGTGATGTGAATCTCTTGTTCCACCACATTCCAAAGGTGCTCAGTTGGACTGAGATCTGGTGACTGTGGACTCACTCAGTCAGTTCAAGAAACCTGTTTGAGAATACCCGATCTTTGTGACTCAGCACGTTATCCTGCTGGAATGCTTTCATGTTGTTTACAAAATGTTCTCACACTAACATGTGTGTGTTGCAGCAGAAATCAAGACTCAATAGACCAGGCAATGTATTTCCAATCAAATGCAAACTGTAGCCTCTGTTTCCTGTTCTTAGCTGACAGGATGTTTTCTTCTTCTGCTGTAGTCCATCTGCTTCAAGGTTCTACATGCAGTATGTTCAGAGATACTCTTCTGCATACCTTGTAATGAGTAGTAGCAGGACAGAGGTACACGCTTCTGCTCACTACATATTTTTTCTTTTTCAGACCAGTCTCTGTAAACCTTAGAGATGGTTGTGTGGGAAAATCCAAGTAGGTCAGCAGTTCCTCAAATACCAGCCTGTCTAGTACCAACAACCATGCCACATTCAAAGTCACATTTTATCCACTTTGTGTTGCTCAGTTTTAACTTCAACAGTATCATTTTGATTAAATGCACTGAGATGTTTCCACATGGTGTACCTAACAAAGTGTCTGTTGAGTTAATTTTATCTGATAAATGTAAATGCTTTTAAAAAAAAAAAAAAAACAGGCCACTGGTTTTGTGTCATCTTGTAAAACTGGTCTGCTGGGAAAACAAGTTTAGTTTTGTATAGCTATATATTTGCTATGAAACAACAGACAGCCACAGATAATTACGAGCTGTTGCATGTATTGGAGGGATTAGCATTTGAAGAGACAGATATTCCCCTCTGGACAAACGAGTTTAAAGGATGACTGTGGATTTTAGATACACCTGAAACCAAACTTCAAAGGAATGCTAATGTTTGTCTGCAGGATGTGTCAACAGACAAGTGCTTGATAAAGTGATGTAGAGGTGTTCAGTGCTGAATATTGAATCAAACAGTGGAGCTCTGCCAGAGATACGATCACAATCTAATAACTGAATAACAAACACCTTGATGAGCGGTTAACCTCACAGTATGTGTGATGCCTGTGAAGACGAGTTTGTACTGAACTTATTTGGGTTATTATGTCAAAATTATGTTTATTATCTACTTGTGTTGCCATTGTGAATTTTTGAGTTTTCTGATCATTAAAATTTGCGTGTTTGTGATTTTAGGTGCTACACGTCTGGTTGGCAGCTCAATCTCTGGCAGCGGGCGAGTTGAGGTTTACCTGAACGGCCAGTGGGGAGCAGTATGCGACTCTCACTGGACAGACCGGGATGCCAGTGTGATCTGCAGACAGCTGGGTCTGGGGTAGGTCGGATGAAACATCTGCTATGAGTTACAGTGACGTGCGACTGATGTAAAAAGTTCATTCTCACCGGTGACGTTTCTATTTTCAGCGATATCGGCACAGCATTGCAGCACTCTCAGTTCGGCTCGGGCTCTGGCCTATTTCACTACGAACGTCTAGGTTGCCGCGGTGATGAGAACACCCTGAGTAAGTGCCGGAGCAGGATGTTCGTCACTGGTGACTGTAGCCATGGAAACGAAGCAGCAGTGGTGTGCGCACCACCAGAAGGTCAGTGTGACTTCCACAATGTTGTGGCAAACGCACCTGAATGTTTCGGCCCATACATAAGAGGAACAGAGCGATTCGGTACCAATAAAATGTGTGTGAGAGCATTCAAGGTGGATGCTGCTGGATCTCATGCCATCTTTTAAACTCCTCTCAGGCAGTGGCCCTCCTCTGCGACTGGTTGGAGGTGAGGAAGACTTTGAAGGTCGTGTGGAGGTG